CACTATAAATCAAAATTGGTTATTTATCTTATATTTTTCTTACTGTTTGCTATAAGACCAATTCACTTACCCATGTTGTATTATAAATCATCCTGTGTGTATTAGCTCCATTGGCGGTCAGTGTGGGATGAAACACAGTGAATCACCTGCCAGGCAAAGATGGAAGTCTGCCTCACGTCTTGCGCCAGATGGGGCCCCCAGATCCCATTCTGAGTTTGAGCTGCGAAGTGCGCTGGAGGAGAGCAGCATGAGGAGGACAGAACTCATCCAGAGGCTCCGGGAGGTCCACAGCCGTCTGGACTCACAAACAGACCTGCTGAAAGCCAAGGAGACCCAGCTTCAGCACAGCCAGAGCACTACCCAGCGTCTGGAGCTCAAGCATAAGGTTATGCTTTTCTCAGACTAAAATAAAATTTAATTAAAAGGATTGAAGACATTCAAACCAGAAAAAAGTACTATGAATTACTTTTATGTTTTATAGTAGACATTTTTCCTATACTGTTTCCTATACAACAGTATTTTTTTTATTTAAGAATAATGGCAAGAATACATTTTACAGAGATTTAACAAATGCTTTTATAGTTACAAAATCTACCTTGTTGTCTGTTGATATTTAGATGGTTCTTACAGTATAAAAAGTCCATTCAAGCTTGTTTTATCTATTACATTTTAGCAATTTTATTCCTTTAAGTAATTGGGTCAGAAGTATATTGTTTTAATGGTAAATCCTTCTGTTACACTGTGTGTTAGTACAAATGTCCTTCAGCTTTGACCCTTAAGTTGTTAATGTTTATGTGGGTAGAGTTTGTCAAAGCCTAGATATAAGTTGTATTTTTTAATGCAGTGTAAAGAAAGTATTCATTTCCTATAGGTAGGATGAGTGTGTGTTTCTTTCAATTCTATGGCTACTTATTTGTGTATGGCTTTTCCCCCACAGCAGCTGGCAAAGGCACTGAGTGTTGTTGAGGAGCAGAAGGAAGCAGCTGAGCTAAGTTGCTTTGAGGAGAGCTGTCGCAGCGCAGACCTGCAAGACAAGTGAATATGTGGATCATAATACAACTGTGACTCATCATAGGCATTAAACAAGTTATCTACTGTGGTAGCCACTTCTGAGTTTTATTCATTTGTGTGTGTGTATGTGTGTGTGTGTGTGTGTGTAGAGTGCTGCAGCTGGAGATGGACATTTTGAAGATGAAATCTAGCCTTGAGAGCAGGAGCACTGCTCAAATCTCAGCGTCACATTCAAAGCCACACCTTGGCAGGACCATGCCTGTAACAAAAGATGAATTTGTCAGAGAGGTAGACACTGCATGTGCCATTGAAATGACCAGAAATAGAATAACAGATCAGCCTACAGTTGATGTATATTTGAAAGTGTTTTGACATCCATTGATATTTGATTAATAACTAATAATTAATAACTGCTGATTTGACATAAACTATAAACACACTTTGATGTGTTCCCTAATTTGAATTGTGTGAAATTCTGATGTTAACAGGGACAGAAAAAGGCTGAGAGGGAAATGAAGAAGCTCGAAGAAGCCCTTGGGGAGGCAGAGGAGAGAGCCGCGACCCTAGGGGCTGAAAAAGACCATGCATTAACACAACTCCAATCCTATAAAGAGGTCAGTCACTTTTATGGTTTAAGTGTAAACTTAAAATACAGCTAAACAGACAGCTGTTTTTTTCCCTTGTCTTTGGGTTGCATTTTAGGATCGGCAGAAGGTATTGAAACACATGGAAGAGCTGAAGCAGAGGTTTAGCATGTCCTTGGCGGCCCAGAGTGAATTGCAGGACCAGCTCAGCGAGACTCGCAGTCGCCTTGGCCAACTGGAACTGGTGAGAGATTTAAAAAGTGATAAAACTGCGCCATCAAATTCCCATGAATTATGCACGATTTCACACATGCTTCTCTCTGTGATCCAAAATCCTCCACAGGAGAATGAACTGCTCACCACAAAAACATTGCGATTGGAAGACAGCATAGAGGACCTGAAGTCAAAGCTATCCAGTGCTTTAGCTGAAAAAGACCGCCTGGTGCAGGTGCCTCTAGACTTTTCAGGCACATTATGTTACTGCTTGAATATGCTGCATGATTCAGTGCTACTTGTTAAGATCCAGGACATCATCTATCAATATATAGAATACTACAGGCAAAATAAAGGTGTTCCCTTCTTGTTATTTTATCTATATAGGAGAAAGCTGAACTGCACCAGAGAGTGCAAAGTTTGGAACTAGAGCTGCAAAGATCCCAGCTGGGCAGAGAGGGCTTTACTCAGCAAGTGTGTGATCTCCACTCCGAGCTGTCTCAGGCCAAGAGCCAGGCCAGCCAACAACAGCAGAGTACCTTATTAATGAAAGAGGAACTGCACTCAGCCAAAGAGGTCAGGATTTCACACACTATATTCTCTCACTGCTGCTAGAGTGTCAGGCGGTACCACACTGTGGAGCAGCGCAATTAAAATTTGTGTTAGTAAAATGTGAGGTTGGTTTCAGAAATTCCAAACATAGGTATTTTAGATTTTGTTTCAAAAGCCCTGGAGGAAAGAATGAGGGAACATTAGCTTTTCTAATTTAGCTGAAAGCGTCAAGTGTCAAATCTTTGGTTGTTAATGAGTCAATAAAGAGGTTCTAAACTTATGATTATTATACAACTTATTATAAGGGTTCATTCCAAAATCAATTTTCTTACTCTCTTCCTGCCTGGTACGTCTTGTTTTTTCTGTCTTACCTTAGTTTGCCATGAGGTAGACACAGTGGAAGGAAAATAACTAGCACACAGGCATAGTTAAAAGCATAACAGAAAATTACACGAAGACAAAATACAGAAACAGAAAAATACAAACAGTGGTGTATTCACATATCCATTTCCTATAAATGTAATTCAGAAAAAAAACCCTGCTCATTTCACTGACAGTGTATAATACTGGTATAACATTGTGGAATATTATAGTATTATAATGGTATATACTATAATACAATTCAGTTTATGTAATCTTAAAATCTCAGTGGGAATACATCACAAATTTATGTAACTGTAAATTTCCAACCTCTGAGTTTGTCATCAGAATTTCATTAGATATGAGATAGATAACTGAAGTGAAACCGTTTTAACTTTTGATGAAAAAGATGAAGCGTCATTGAAATTATGTAGAATACAACAACATATAAGGGAATTCCCTACTTCATTAATCATTTTTTAATGTCTTTTCATTTTTAGTAAGATGTATTTTACTTTATGTTAGACTTTTTGTACCCAGAAATATTTTTTAAGCTCTGCATCTGTCTTTTGTCCAGGTGAATGAGAAACTGTCAGCAGATCTGGCCACAGCCAAAGAGAGGCTTCAGGAGACACTACAGCAGCTACATGAACTGGAAGCAGAGAAGCTGATCCAAACCAATCAGTTAGCTGCACTGGAGACTGAGCGTTTGCAGCTGATTGGAGAGAAGGAGGAGCTGATGGACGTGTTTGACCAGGGAGATCAGAAAGAGCTAAGAGATCTGAAGGAGACCTGTTGCCAGCTCAGGTGAGTCCTGGTCTGACTTTAACTATTTTACCAAAAAAAAAAAAAAAAAGTTATAGCTGACTTGATAGTAGCTTTTGACACTGGGATTCTCTACCTATATCATGTTTATAGAGAATTACAGGAAATGTTGGAGTATGAGAAGAAGGAACTTGAGGCACATTGCCAGGGCCTGGAAAAGAAAGTACAGAATGTTGAGGCAGAGTGTGGGCTTAAGGAACAAAAGCTGCAACTCATGAAGGAGAAGATGGAGCAAGAGAAGGAGGAGCTGAAGAGAGTGGCAGCTCACTGGAATGAGCGATGGCTGGATGTTGCGATGACACTGCAGTCTACTCAGGCCCAACTAGAAGAGACCAAGAAGCAACAGCAAGAGACTAATGCAGTAGGGACTGCACCACCTTGAATTATTTATATTTTTTACTTGAGATCAGAAAGAACTAAGCCTACAGCATACATTTTCTCACATGTCCTCCAAAATTTTAAATGTTTCCCAAGACAGTAATCTGCTTAATAGAGAATGTACGGTTTCACAAGCTTCACTATCAAAATTCAATTCCTTGTTTTTATAGATCATTCTTTTTCACATGTGTGTCCTCAGCTGAGGGAAGAAGCAGCAGAAAAGCTGGAGACACTTGAGGCAGAGATGAAGGACAGGCAGTAAGTGTGTGCATGCAGCATTTGTCGTTTTTACATAAACAAAAGAGAACATATAAAATGCCTTTAAAGTTACACATGCTGTTCACGTGATGAAAAACAAAGTAGAATACACACACTGGTAAGCTCCCAAGAAAATATATTTTAATCCAAAAAATGGGGCACAAACATCAAGCAGGCCTACCATTTCTATTTTTATCATAATTTCAGAATTTTATTAGCAAGATCTATAATGAGAATGTGTACATACTCATTTACATATCTAAACAATCAACTCATGAAGACCATGGAGCTATCAAAACAAGTCTGAAAGAAGTCTGAAAGTTCTGCATAAGTATCAGTCAGTGTGATGCAGTTGATACAATCGGTTAGTTATTTAAAAAAAACTTTAAACATCTTGTGGAGCATTAAAGCCATTATTAAAAAATGTAGAGAATATGGCACAGCCATGACTCTGCCTTGAGAAGTCGTCCACCAAAAGTCAGTGACCAGGTAAGGAAGCATTAGTCAGAGAAGCAAACACTACAAAAGGTTGTCAAGCTAAATTCTCTCATACTAACCAGCAGCCAATACACATACACATACAGTGTCTTGCATACATATTCACCTTTTGTAGTATTACAAAAGGTGAAACGTTTAAGGGGGTGAATATTTATGCAAGGCACTGTATGTGTATGTGTATGGGCTGCTGGTTAGTATGAGAGCATGTCTGAAAAAAAGCATTTAGCTTCACGTCACATTCATTCACTCATTCATTTTCAATAACTGCTTCATTCTGGTCAGGGTGGTGGTGAATGCAAGGCAGGAATACACCCTGGATGGGCAGTGGTGGCTCAACGGTTAAGGCTCTGGATTACTAATCAGAATGTTGGGGGTTCGAGCCCTAGCACTGCTGAGCTGCCACTGTTGGGCCCTTGAGCAAGGCCCTTAACCCTCTCTGCTCCAGCGGCACTGTATCATGGCTGACCCCAGCTTCCTAACAAGCTGGGATATGCGAAGAAAAGAATTTCACTGTGCTGTAATGTATGTGTGACAAATAATGGCTTCGGCTTCTTCTTAAATGGGACACTACTCCATCTCAGGGCACACTGCACACACATGAGATGGCACCCTGTAACATTTTTGTGGGGTTAAAATTATTTTGTGCAGTTTCCGTTATAATATGGTTAGTGTGAATGCATGAGAGTTTACTAACACTAAATATGTTCCCTTATAAGGAATATGATCCAGAGATTGCTAGATGAGAAGACACACCATGAAAAAGAGCTGACCAGAGTTAAGGTATATCTAACTGCATGTTATCATGTGCCATATCTATTCCACTATGAAGATAGTAATAACTGCTCAGTGCTTTCTCATATGCATACTTATAGGCAAGGGTGTAAAAATGATAGTGAGATTCATACACTTGCAGAAAGAAGCTGGTGCTTTGGAACGGGTGGAGCTTGATGCCTGCAGACAACAGCTGGAACTGGAGAGGAACAGAAGCCAGACTCTGCAGCAGAGACTCATGGGAAACCCTGTATGTCCTTGTGTTTTTCTGTCAGAGACCAGGCCAACTGATGCCACTAGTTGCCAGTAATACATGCATGGTATAAGAGTATCACTGTTATGGTGGCTGTAGGTGTCTCTGGAGGAGATGGATGGAGAGCTGGTGCAGCTGAAGGCTGAGCTGCAGAAGGTGTGGGACATGCTGAAGAGCCGTGACACTGAGCTGGAGGAGCAGGAGCATGAGCTGCAGTCTGCTCGTGGCCAGGTGAAAATGATCTAGCTGTTGTAATGCTGGGCAATGACAGAGGGGCAGTGGTAGCTTCGTGGTTGATGCATTGGGCTACTGATCGGAAGGCCGTGACTTGAAATTCCAGCACCACCAAGCTGCAACTGTTGGGCCCTTGAGCAAGGCCCTTAACCCTCAACTGCTCAGTTGTATCTTGTCTCAATTGTAAGTCGCTGTGGATAAAAGCGTCAACCAAATGAGGTAAATGTAAATGTACAAAGGGAATGGTGAATAAGTTTCAGGTGAGAAAAAAAGAAAGTTGTACTGAAGGTGAACATAATTTTTTATGGCTTACCATCCTCTGTGGGATTATAGGTGACTCAGCAGAACAGCGAGGTACAGAGACTGGAGCAACAACTGGCTAAGAGAGATCAGGAATTGAAACAAAGGTGGATATACATATAACTGTCACCAGAAACCAGTTATACAGTGTGCAAATATTCTGTCATTCCTTCTGTCATATAATGCATTAAAATATTTTGTTTATATACAAACAATGTAGTCAAGACCTTCTCAGTTGAGACTAGGACAAGACCACATCCCATAGCAACTGTGACCAAGTAAAAACCACCACTTTTACCAGGCAAGGCCAAGATGAGACTAAGACTCAATAGTATAGGATTAAGATTCCAGATCAAGTTTCCTGTTTCTTGGTTCCACTGAAAAATTCTTTATGGTTTATGGTCCAAACTGTATTATAACCAAAGATGCTGACATTGCAGCACTAAGGTACAGTGAAGAAGCAGCAGCAGGTAGAGCTAGGGCTAGACCAAAGCTGATTTCCCTTTTTAAAAAAGGAATGTCATACAAAAAGTAATACATTTTGTCTAATTTAAGGTATCATCATCTTTGTCTTCACATGGTTAAGATCAAGTACAGATTGAGATAAAATAGACTTGAGACTGAGAGGAGATCACAGAACAACGCTGCTGTATCACACTCCTATTATTACACTGAATGTATTGTTGGTATACCTCTTTAGAGATCTTTTCCTAAAGGATTTGATGAGACAGAGAGACACAGAGAAAACTGAGGCCCAAATCAAGATAACTGCTCTTGAAAATGAGGTGCACAACCTACAATTGGGTACTATTTCTAATTAAAGTGCTGACCATTTGAATAATAAACCATGACTGGACTTAGATAATCTTTATCTTCTTGTATCCCTCATCATGCAGCTTGCTGGACTAAAAGATCTTAAGACCATCCAGAAGCTGGGCACTCAACATGATTATCAGGCCATAGACTCCACCATGGAAGGTAACTGCTCTGGTTGTGTTCTCATTAGATATAAAACAAAACCAGGTCAGACTTTACATGCAAACTGACATCATGATTTGCATTGTGGTAACAGAGAGCAGTAGGACAACAGAGCAACTAAAGCAGGAAAAGGAGCAGGATCTGCAGAAAGTGCATAGTGTCAAACCTCCCCAACAGGTACTGGCATCCTAGACAACATCCAAACACCAAATGTTCACTTCTGTCACTGTCTTTAACCCGTATATAGCTTTTATCTATGCTGACTAGTACTCTTCTTTACTTAGGAAAAAGGAGAGAGGCGATCACCATTAATGAAGAGAAAAGAGACAGCAGTAAGGGCGGATATCATAGATCCTGACCAACAGAGGAGGCTAATCACTGAGCAGGTGGGTAGACAGTGTAAACAATGTTCGAGGTTTTAGCTTTGCACTTCACAACATGGTGTTTGAAATAAAATAATGACTTGAATGTAGACTTTCACAATAACTACCTTAAATAGGTGAACCCTATAGTGATTCCTGTAAGGTTCATTTGATGTACATAGTACACTCAAATTAAATATGATAGTCAGCATTTTATAATTTCATCTATATGCCCATTTCTACACCAGCTGAAAAGTCTGTTTAAGGGGAAGGAGCAGATGGGTGATATGGCGTCTCCCATGATCCAGAGAAAAGCTGGGTCAGTACTGGACTGTGGCTCAAAGTCACCTAAAGTTATAAAGGTAGGCACTTAGGCATTTAATTTCTATACACAACTAACTTAGTCAAAGCTTTCTTCAGCTTTTTCAGTCCAGTTATATCACACCAACGATTGTTAATCACGAGCACACAGTTTCGATTACACTGCTTGTCAGTTTTGACTGAAATGAAATAATGAAACAATGAAATAATAACAACATTTTAACTGTTGTACAAAACTCTTTCCTAATGAGAATGCCATGGACACGGTAAGAAGTGAGGTGAAGAGACAACAGAAATGTGGACTTGATTCAAGTGTTCATAAGAAGACAGGAGAACACACTGCAGAACAGTTCGCTCCTAAGTGAGTAGTAGTGACAATGACAAAGCTGCTGAGGATGATTTTTAAATCTTTTGTGAGAACCAGAAAAACTACTGAATGACAGAATGTTGTAAATTTCTCAGAATCAACATTGGACATTTTTTAAAAGGATTTTGGACAAACAAATATTTGTATACAGGCAGAAAGCAACAAATAATAAATGATGCTTAAGTATAGGTGTAGTGTTGCACAAAGTATCAGTTCAATACAAGTTCAATACTTTTTCAATACAATGTAGCAAACAGTATAATATTCTAATATTTAATAATTTAAAGTTATTATTTAAATAGAAGAGCACTATATTTAAGATTTATTATGCTAGTCTGATTTGGGTGAACAGAGGTGTAAAAAAATTCATGTGTGCCATGAGCAGCCAACATACACTATTATACACTATACACTATTTAGCCCATATCCTAGTATTATAAATTGATAGCATTTAAGGCAACCAACTGGGAACATTTTCTGTGCCATCAATGTCCTTAGTGAGGGAGATAGCTTCAGGAAAACAAGAGCTATATCCCTCCTCGGCTATATCTCTCCTCGGTAGATCAAGATAATGTGTGGAGCCCAATCACAATTAGAGTTCATCTTCATTCCAAGTGGCTATTGAATAACAGCATTACAGAGCTGGAGTTTTGTGTATACATCTGTGTTTGTGTGCTTGTCTATTTCAATTTCACGTAACTAAAAATGTGTTTATGTCTAATGTCCATTCAGTGAAAATAGTATATATCCTAGTTGCATTTTATACAGTGTGAATTTTGTCACAATATTTTGTTCTGCTTTACAGTCAAACTAAAGTGTCCACAGCAGATCCGGGATTTAAGAGTTCCAGCAAAGTCTAGCATGGAGATAGCACAAACCTGTGTGCTGTTTAATTAACAAATAAGAGGAGGCCCTGAAAATGAGACCACCCCTGTTTTGTGTGGAAGGAATCTTCCTAGCCTGGAAGGTTGAGGTGTGACTCAGAGCTGGAGGAGGATGAGGAGTATACTCAGGTTGTGGAGGAAGGCACTGACTTGTACTTGATTGAATAAGTGTGTAGGTGGAAAAGGGCCTCATTATTTTAAATATCACAACTTCATTACATGTTGAAAGATTTCAGGTACATTATTGTATAGTGAAATGATTTTTTGAGAAATCCTCCTGCAAATTCTTTTCTCAGAGAGGCAGAAGGTTTGCTAAATATTCAAATTATTGTAATGAAAAGCTGATACAAAAAAATCAGTCAGGTTCACCTTAAGTATTTATGGGATACAGATTATATACCTTAAATGACACAATTACTGAAATACAAATTAATTTCAGACATTATGTTGTTAAGGCAGATCTAGAACCCTAGAAAATATGTTCTAATCTAGCCTTATTTTCTAGGGTTCTAGATCTGCCTTAAAAACATAATGTCTGAAATTAATTTGTGTTTCAGTAATTGTGTCATTTAAGGTATATAATAACCCTGGCCTCATCTAACACCTAACCATTAGACTGTTCGGAGCAATATGCTATATCAAATTAGAGGCATATGCTGCTAAACAAAGCACATTTGACAGCTGATATTTTGAATAAGTTAATGTGCAAAAGTTTATGTGATACTTCAAGGTTAGATAAAAAAAATTATACTCTTACTCGCAGTCACGCTTCTGAGCTGAGATTTCAGATGCTTGCCTTTGAAATTCCTCTTGCACCAAACTGAGCTAACGTAACTGGGTTAGCTTCAAAGCAATATCCTGGTGTATCTTTGTGCTTATACTGATGTGAGGTGTGAATAGTTTGTAATTATTATTTAATAAAA